TGACACCTATAATAAACGTTCATTCAACTCCTTCCTGATTTTTTCTAAAATAAAACAAAATAAAATAAAAACAAATAAAAGTATATAACAAATGACTAAGTGACCATCAAGTCAAGGTGCAAGAATGGTATTTTCAGAGATAGTAGTCGAGAGTTCTAGCTTTAATTTAAGCCAGGAAGGTTTTATAACCTTTTGTTTCTTTGCTAGTGCTTCTAAAACTCGATTTTTTACACCTTGACTTCGTTTTTTTCAAAATCTGGAGCTGATGGAAACATTACGTTTACGGATTCGAAATCAGCACAAAAAAGTCTTATCAAAAACAGCTTTAACTTTGCCGTTCCAAAATTTGTTTCTATTTTTGTTGGGCTGTGTTATCTATTAAAAATTAACAAAAATTCATATTTCCGATTTTTCTACAGAAATTTTTCCTTATGTGGTCCATAATACCCTTCACTCCCCTAGTTGTAGTTTTGCAAAATAATTCAATGAATATCATCATGCAGTATTCTAGAGAACGAGTACACTATGGGCTAGCTTTTCTCAATATTCATCGCAATTTGGATGTTAAGGTTGACTCAGTATTAAAAGAATTTTTATCTATACCTCGGTGAATTGCATGTGAATTTTCTTCGAGATGTGCTGAATAATATCCACAATTAAATAAATATAATAAGCTGAATACTCTAAATAAAACAATAATATTCTTGGTTGTTACGAATGACTTTACCCCAAAGAGAAATCGTGCGTCTAGTCCTACGTAGTAGTAATTGGATATTTCTGTCGAAATCTTCAACCCCTCTTCCATGCGTACGTGAAATCCCCATCTCGCCAGCTAGGCCTCTTAAAAAGTTATAGGCGAAAATATTTTGGTTTCCCCATAAGGATAACATTACAATCCAATTGTTTAAAACGTTTTTTCTCGAATTCAAGTTTTTGAACTTAGGCGGTTATTGCTTATGACCACAGATTTTAAAAATTCACATTTCCAAAACAGGCGTTTTTATTCACAACGACGATATATAACGGTCCATAAAAATTTTAAATTGCAATAAAAACCAGTAAAGTACTCTTATCTCAATCAAATTGTGCCAAAAATTAGAAGATTGTGCCTAAAGGGCCGTATGTACGTATGTACACATGTGCATATTCCGCGTAGTAAACAAAACACAGCCTGACCACGCACAGCTTTGTCTACGCGAAACTCACGATGACTAGCAGGAATGAAATATGTAATTCCTAAATTTCTGTACTTAAGGCTCTGTTATGCATAATTGGCATTGCATGCACTGCTATACCATTTTTACGTAGAAATCAAAAACCAACAGACTTCTACGTATGTAGTGCTGTGCGTTCGATAACGGATTACACGCGAGGCTCATTTAACAGATTTCTTATGTGACAGCTCTCAAGCCATGCCAAGTATGCATAACGGAGCCTTTAGTTTGATGTGTACATATGTGCCTGTGTCCGAAAGTATGCTTGTTAAAATTCTTGACTCACTCCGAAATGTTCACATTTGGTTAACGACACCCTCATAAACAGTTCTTATCAACGCGCTTAAAAATATCAAACATAGATATGTACGTATGTATGTATTTATGTATATAGTATTTATACGACACCGTAAAACTTGATATGAATCACTGAAACTTTACACTTACATCATTGACTTTGTATTTTTTTCACTTTCTGGTAAGGACTCCGCGAGTATGAGGTTACTTTTGTAATAGGACTTTTCGTCCTTGTCTGGACCGTTAACAACCCTCATTGTGAATAGGCGTATCGATACTTTAATCTGTAGATTGTATGTGCCTCTTTCGTCCCAGTGCTTTCACGGTGAATCGCCGACTGAATTGGTTTAGGTAAAACAAATGGTTAATATTGAAATATCGGTTGTTAATATTGAAAATTCCTAATTTATTTTTACTAGCCATTTTTTAGTGGTTATAGATAAGTTATCACGGGCTGTTATACATATGTATGTAATACCTACATACATATGTACGTATGTATGCATATACAAACGTATATATAAATATTTATGTATGTACAGTGTTTCACCAGCTCAATTAATTGACGAGCATACAATTTATTAGCAATAAAGTGATAAATCGATTGGATGTATAAGAAAGGTCGCATTATTCAATGTGCAGTGAATTTGCAAAAATAAAGCTTAAAGTGGCATAAGAGTAAGTCACTTCGTTAATATTACAGACGGCTCTAAGTGACTTTTTTTTGTAATTTATGTGTTCAGTTTTTGGCCGATAATTTCAGATAAATGTCGAAATATCGACCAAATAAATAATAAATGTGTAGGTACTATGTTTAATATAATTGATTTATTCAAACGGCCTATCGAAAAAAACCCAAACCCAAAAATTCAAGCTCGTTAAAGTATTTCTTAAGAACACTTAAATTAGCTCTCTAGATTTTAGATGGAATACAAGTTTTTTGAGGCTTCTGTATGTTTCTTTAGCGTGCTTCCAAATCTTTAACGGTTTTAAGAGCCTGTCAGGAAAAAAACAAAGGATTTATTCGAAATCAGCGAACTAAAAATTTCCTAAATATAATATTCATGTTTTTCATGTTTTGAGCAATCTTCTTTTTTTAATGTACGTATATTCTGTCTTTTAGGGGTATATCCTGTCTTTTAAATGAAGCTTTGTGTAACGTTATTTAGCTGTGTTGGCTAATTCATACTGTAGGTTACCACTTTTTGAATGGAATTCCCTTCAAAATTGTTAGTTTCCTGTAAGAAGTGGCTTCATTTTACAACGCTTTTATTAACTTGCAATGTTGACAACATTTTTCGCTATAATTATAGATTATAATAAAAGTTCCTATACAAAAGCCTAGACATAAACCTCGACGGTAGGCCTTGCCGAAAGTAGTTAAATATTGCACCTTAAAATATGCACTACATACGTTACAGCGGAAATGGACGACAAGCCACTCCTTTAAATGAAATTAATTGGTGCTCGTATGTACATATGTATGTAAATACTTTACTTTTACAAACTTTTACAAATAAGAATTAGGGATGAAACGATACGATTAAATACAAGTACATACTCGATATTTTTCGTTCTATACCAAGTAATTTTGGCATCGATACTGTTGAACCAAGTACTGAGTAGGTATCGAAAAAAAAATACTCGTATCGAAACCCGATACCAAGGCGAATTTTCTTTCGGAATTTTTTCCTCCACTAATATAAATCGTCCAGTACTTTATGGCTTTTTAAACGTCAGCGACCTTCAAATATTGAAGACGTAAATTTTTTCTGAAACCAGTATGAAATGCACTTATTTAACAGATATTTTTGCTGTTCTTGCATCACGGAATCCATCTGCGTCGTGGCAAAATACCAAAAAATATATACAAAATATATTTTTTTAAGTTGATTGCTTGCTTTTCTGAAGTCAAAAGAATAAAAATCCAAAGAAATATGGGTTTAAAACTTTTTAAAAACTTCATTGCGTAATGGTTTCAGGCCAAGGAAAGGAAAATATTTAAACCATTTTTGAAAGTCATTGTAAATGTCAAGGTAATTATTCTACCACCCGAGACTATTTTTCCTAAATATTCCATCTCAAAAGCTTCTAAACATCGTTACAGTTATTTCGCTATCTCTTCTCATTTGATTTTGGCTAATTTTTTTTTTCAAGAATAGAACACTGTGCGGCGTATACATGGCCCAACGTACAGAGTAACTCTATTATTCTTCGCGCTGAAAGCATTATCGGACAATATTAAAGGTGGTAGAGACTAGCTTTAAAAAAGAAGCAAAGGATGACAAAGAAAACACTAAAATGTTCAACGTAGCCCAGCCCAGAAATTTCGTATCGAAATTTAAGCTTTCTAAGAACTCACCGTATAAAATCCGTTATCTTTTACTATAAGAGATATTCACCTGGAATTTTGTCAACTTATAAACTTTTATTATTCGAAGTTTCGAATTCGCCGCGGATGATTAAATTATTACTTAAAAAATTTAATTTAATCCAGCTCATACGGAATACCTTCAGAGCCAAAAATACCGATACGAGTAGGTATCGAAACTTTAGATCCGATATCTAACGATACTACTTTCAAGTAAAGGTATCGATACCTGCATGGTATCGTTTCATCCCTAATAAGAATCTGACTTGTACTAATTTGTATTTCCGCAAATATTTGTGTGGTGTATTTTGCGCAATAGTAGATATTCTGTTCCCTTTTTACTGCAAGTTAATTATTTTAATATGTGTTGCAAAATTGTATTCAGACAACACTAAAAGGTAGAAAATAAATCAAATAAAAAAACTTTTTAATATACCACGCTTTTATAAATGGACTAAAAAGTAGAAAATAATATTTCTCAGTCCCATAGAATTTGTTTTGATAACTTTTGATTTTGAAATTTTAGCAAAAGTCATTATAAACAATTTATGAGATTAAAAATGAAAAGCGTGGGGCGCATGTAATAAACTTGAATTGATATGAAAAGTAATATACATATGTATGTATGTATGCGGGTATATGAATAACGACCGCTTAAAATCGATCTCAAATTTATACTTCCGTTGTAGAAATTTTAGGTCTACATACATATGTTATGTAGTTTGACTATTGTCAATTAAATCTAATGCTTTATAAACGCATTCGCTGCACGTTTTTCGTTTTCAATCTCATAAATTGTTTATGATGACTTTTGCTAAAACTTCAAAATCCAAAGTTATCAAAACAAATTCTATGGGACTGAGAAGTATTATTTTCTACTTTTTAGTCCATTTATAAAAGCGTGGTATATTAAAGTTTTTATTTTAGAGAGCAGGGGCTGGATTCTGTAACAGTGAGAAAATGCAAAGCAAAACTCATATTATCTCAAGTGTACACATTCGGGTTTCAAGCGATTCTCTAAACCACTGTGTAAATATTGTGCTGAATAGTTCGCTGAATGTAAAAGTCATCTGTCAGTGAGGAAATATTATGATCAACAAAACAAATGAAGAACAAACTAAATAAACTAAAAACTAACATTGAAAAACATAATCGATTTAATGAGTCTTCGAGACGAAAGACTGCTATTCCTACGTATATGAAAATGTTGTCCGCTTTGAGATTTTTTGCCACCGGAAGCTACCAGCGCCCGATAGGACAAGATTTTTTGTCCTGTTTATTACAAACGACTGTCAGTAGATGTGTTGGGGAAGTCACAACCATTCTCATCACTGTTCAAGCGACTTACGAGCGGTTTCCAAATGAAGCGGAGGAACCTGGGATAAAAGCGGAATTTTACCAAAAATATGGTTTCCCGGGTATAATTGGCTTAATGGATTTGAGTCACATCAAAATTATAGCACCTAAAGGAGATCTAGAAAGTTTATACTACTGTAGAAAAGGTAAGTTTTTTTACTTTCAATTTGAAAAGTTAAGCTCAGTCAATTGTGTACATCTATAGGTGGTCATTCCATCAACTTATTACTTATTTCGATTCAAAACACCAAATTTTTCATGCCAATACGTAGTTCCCAGGTACGTCGCATGATGCATATATCTGGCGGACTTCGGCAATTCAAAATTATCTAAAAGAAAAGTACACGAGAAGTCATCGTAATTACAGGTTGCTAGGGGATAGGGGATTTCCACTCCAACCATGGTTGATGACTCCTATAGCTAATCCAGCAAATGAAGAAGAAGAAAGATATAATGTGGCACATAAGAGAACGCGATGTATAGTTGAGCGTTGCATAGGAATTTTAAAAGGCCGGTTTCGATGTTTATCTCGACAAAGAACTTTATGCTATGGACCAGAAAAAGCAGGAAAAATAATAAACGCTTGTATAGTGCTCCACAATATCCTATTAAAAGCTAATGTTCCAGTAACCGAAGCAATTGAAACAAATATAGATTTAGATGAATCCAATGAAAATATTTCAATATCACAAAACCACTTACAAACACAAGCAAGAACTACCAGACTGCGAATAGTAAAAACTTACTTCCATTAGACTTGCCTTAAAATAAAATCATAAAATAAACATTTAATGTACTAAAGCAAATTTTGTTTTTGTATCAAAATTCTTTTAATTTTAATCTTATGTTACAGTCGTAGAGCTCTGCAAACATTTCTTCTCCGGTATACTAAAATGAAAGCGTGAATTTGGGGTGGTGGTAAATTTATTTATGTATGAATTTAAATACGTTATATATGTACACAACTACACAATGTTCTTGCTGAGGTCGCATCTACTTCTGTCACGGTAAGTAATTACAACATTCTTGCAGAATCTTTTAAAGGGTATTTATTTTATAGCCAATCAATTTACCTCGCTTTTGGTAAGTGCGGCTTTTCACAGGGCTTCTCTATGCTTTACGTGGCTTGTATAAATAAAATATGGGTATTCGTGGAAACGCGTAAATGCCTCGTAACCGCGTAAACCTCGTAAATAACCCGATTTTCTATACAAAATTAAGTAAGTTTACCATTAGCCATTAGCGCGTTTAGATGAATTACCCTAATGTATTCAATGTATGTGCATGCAATATATGTATGTATGTCGACTTACCGTATATTTGTGGATTTTTGTTGCACTTTATATTCTATATAAAAAATGGGATGATTCATAATATGCAAGAAAAGGCGCAACACCCATAAAGAAAATGCTAAAAATTAATGGCAAGTTGTAGTTACTTCAAACTTCTACCTTATTATACTAGAATCGAATGAGATACAAAACTGCGTACTTAAAATTGTTATAAGAAATCGAATTAAAAAGCTTGATTTTTTTCAAATTTTGTTTATTTGCATTAAGTTTTAAACTTAGTTTTATACGGGTTTTGTTAAAGAATAAATATATTTTTATAAAAAAAAATATTAAAATTAATTTGAAAAAAGTAAATAGTCAAAACTTATCAATATGTTGTGACCTTTTTAATATATTACTACCGTGACCATCCGTCCTTTATTTTAAAGGACAGTCCTTTATTTTAACCCCCTGTCCTTTATAACTTTTTTCAAAATAAAGGACGCCTTTTGTCCTTTATTTCTTGAACTGTCCTTTAAATCAGCTCTGCATTTTTGAGAGGTAAATTTTTAAACACAGAATATGAAAAATAAAAATGTCCCTTATAAAATATAATGAAAAACTTCGTCAGCTTGTTTCGCATCCCACTTACGGGCTTTTATTTAATCGGTAATCTTTGTACAATCTATAGAGCACAGGGAAAGTTCTGCTCAGGATGGTGTTGCACGCTAAGTTTCCAGTTCCACTGAAGGAGAACAATAAACCCCCTATCGCCCAGTGGCTCAAAACCGGCATTTAGTGTTCGTAATTCACTGGAGCCTTCATTTTTTGTCACTTAATTTGATCATTTTTTTTTTATGAAAGCTTATAATATTTGCAAGATACCAGTTGAGCCTGATTTGTGAATTTTCATTTGGTTATATTAAATTTATTTATTCTATGACCCTCTTTATATTAAAATCGTCTATTCAGTCTTTCGTTCTTTTGAGTCATTTTATGTGAAAAATCTTAAGGAATTAAACCTTCTCTTAATAAAATTAAAACAAATTTTTTTATTACTAACGGAAAAAATAATAGAAATAATAGAGTAAGTATGTTTATTATTGATAGATATGTACAGTGAGTCATAATCAATTTAAACAGTGAGGTTTTTACAATAATATTGCCAAGGTTTTTTCATTCTGAATTCCTTTTTCGTAAATTTTTTATAAAGTATAGCTCACTATCTAACAAAACACATATTAATCTAAATTGCATTTTTTGTGCAACAAATGGGGAAAAATTAAAAAGCTTTTAAATTAGAATTTCTAGGAAAAAATTTTGTGTACAGAGTTGTAGCCTGCTAAATTTTGATATATCAAAGTGATTTTCTTACATACAAAGTATGCTGGGATTTTTTTATATACATATAAGAAAATAACAGCACCGCCAGGTATCAAAGTATCAAAAATCAACGCGATTTTTAGCGGCTTCATTAAAATTTAGTAGGCTACAGGTCTGTACACCAAATTTTTTCCTAAAAATTGCAACCTTGTTGATTTTTCCTCATTTTTGCACAAAGTATGTAATTTAGACTAATATGTTTTTTGTTAGTTAGTGAGCTATACTTTATAAAAAATTTACGAAAAAGGAATTCAGAATGAAAAAACATTGGCAATATTATTGTAGAAATCTCACTGTTTAATTCTGAGTAAGATTCACTGTACACCAGTCAAAAAAATTAATTGACAAGTGATATTTTATTCAATATTTACAATGTTTTTTATGTTAAATATTTATTGTTAATTTTTGTTTAAAATATAGTTAATTCCATGATACAAAAAAGAAGGTGGTTTCAATAAACAACTTTTTGATTAAAAAGCAGATTTTTGACAATTGCTCAATTGTGAAAAATTTGAAGCGGCATTACCCAATTGTAAGTTTTTTGGTGTGGGACATTTTATATCCTAAATTTGGGATTATAAAGAAAATAGTTGTATTAATGTATACCTTTTAAAAATAAGCAATATCTTATCTTGAAAACGTTTAAATTTTACATTAAATTCGATAACAACTTGCCAAATCATTATTTTAATACTAATATAATTTTTGTGAACATATATTAAAATTATGTTAGTGTCCTTATGTCATCTCATTATTTCCAATGTAGTTTTCTATATCGGATACGTGATTCTGATGTAATTCTGAAATTAAACATTTACACAAATTACTGAAATTACACATTTCGATGTGTTATTTAATACATATGGTCTTTGTCCATTTAAGAGCAATGTAATTTACTTTGGGACCCATGGGCCGTAAAATTTTTCTAGCAACATATTGTTTTCACATGAAATTTTGACACACCCAAAATTGAAGGATAAAATAAATAGATAAAAACAAATTTTCCATAAAACTGATTTGTGTAGTCCAGGGGCGTCTTTAGTAAATCTTTTGGAGGCTGTTTTAATATATCCTATCTTATTATATATTTCTTAGCTTTTCTACATTCTGAGAAGTTGAGAGGATGAAGTCGAATATTCTTTTTTGGTCAACTACGATGTTTGATTTCATTTTTTGCAATCATTAGTTCATTTCGATTGAGCAGTCACAATGCCCATACTGGCTGTACCGATATTTTTGAAATTTCGGACACAAGTTTTCCAAGAATGGTTATAGGCTAAAACAAAACCGATATCTAAAGGGCGTGTGGAACCTCCCCTACAAATCTAATTTGTCATAGTGCATATCTCTGGAAGCATTTGTGGTAGAGTCCTGGAACTTTTTATGGATATATGTATGTATATGCAGTCAATCTCAAGCTCATAGAAAAATATGAGTTTATTGGAAAATGCGGCGTGCCACCGTAGATCTAGGAATAGAGGTAAATGAAATCAATCCCAAACCTATGAAAAATGGGGGTATATAAAAACAATCTCGAAGCCGTTGAAAAGAGCTAGCTGGTTACGCATAGATACCTCTGGAAGCATTTACCTAGAATACTGAGATAAGGTATTTTTCCAACGAAAATATGTACAGAAAAACGGGCGCCACACCTTCTGGAAAGTAACATGATCACAGAGTGTATCCAGAAAACCATTTTAAGCTAAACCTTCAGGGATTACATTCTTGCCAAGGCCCACAGGCATAAGCCGAAATTGCGTCGCAAGTTTTATGATCGGCTTGGGTAAGGTTTAACCACTTAACCCCCCTTTGTTTTCGTCGCTACTGAATTCTATAAACTGTCAGCTTTCACACAATTTAAAATGTACATGTGTATTTAAAAATGTCATGAAAATTGTGTTGCTAGCTTCATGTTGCAAAAATGTTCTTATTATGCTATGCTTAAGAACAAAATATTTTTAAATCGACAAAACATTAATAAGAAAATTTGAAGGATTTTAGATATTGGGTATGGTAGCACGAAATGTCACAATCCGCTTAATTGTCAGGTTGTTAATATGGCGACGAAAAAGTGACAATGGAACTACCTTGTTTTTTGTATCATGGTTCATTCTATAACGAAAACCATGTGAATCAATGCTTCAAACCTTATGCAAAATTCTGAAAAAATTCAACAAATTTTCCAATTTTGGACAAAGTTTAAAACTTTGATTGGTATATAGAATGAACTATAATTTAAATAGAAATTATCGAAACATATTTTACATAAAAAATATTTTGAATATTCAAAATAATATAGTTTCTCGATAACTTTTTTTGACCGGGGTACATTATTATTAATTCCTTATTAATATTTTTTTTATTGCAAAGAGATGTGGTTTGCATCGCCTTAATTTTTAGTCTTAATTCTAATTCATATTTTTTATTCCTCCATTCTATTTCAGCTCTAAGCTTCTCCTTCTCCAATTCATTTTTTTCTTTTAGCAACATGTTGTTTTCCTCCATTAGTTTCAACTTCTTTTGCTCTATTTCTAAATATTCACCTTCAAATTAATTTGAGCCGGTTTTCCTTTTCCTCATCGACGATGATCGATGAGGAGGAGATGGTGGCCGTGGGAGTGGAAGTGGTGTTTGCGGCTCCGCTAAGGGTAATACCTGCCCGGTATTGATTGCCTCACTCTCACTCTCTAAAAACTCAAGCTCCATTTCTGGTTGCTAAAGTTAAAAAAAAAACATTTGGTTACAAACTACACATTGTTTCCTTAAGGTGTTCTTACACGATATGTGTTTGCATGTGTACATGCCACTTTTTACATATGGAAATGTCAACATATCGTGTAAAGGAAAATTAGATTCGTTTCTGTTGTTTGTTTAAAAAGCAGATGCACGTACATATGAAATAGGAATGTTTCTATTTTCATCTGGCACACAGATAGAATCATCTGAGTTTAGTTTATATCGTTTTCAAAGAAAGTATTTTTAAAGTAATTAAATAAAGACTGTGAATTTGACAACATACGCAATTACATATGTATTGAAAAAGTCACATTTACAGATGCAAATACATATCGTGTAAGAACACCTTTAATATATACTCGGCAAAAAAAACTGTATTCTTAATCGGAATGTAATCACAAC